TTTGGGACTAGAAACTTAGGCCTTACTGAGCTGATAGAAATGAGAAATACTGTAAATATTTTTACATCTCGTGTTCAACAGATTGATTTTCGTTAAAAAAGACAATTGATATTCAACTTTGTACCTCACATAAGTCCTTGGTATCGCCAGTATTTTGTTGTTGAGGGCTGGTAGTGGTTTCAAGTGAGTGCCCTGTTCCACAAACCACCAACAAAGCAGCAAAATACACAAACTGTGCCATGCTTCAAGAGATAAAAATGTCAACACTTTATAACAGTAGAAATGCACGTCTGTGTGGTATGAACTTGTTTCATAACTGGTTCCGTGATGGTATGTGTTCAACCTTTAAGACGATTCTTCTAATGTCATGGAATGCAATTTAATGTCAGTCAGCGTAGATGAGACGCTATTTTTTAAAACAGAGGTTATAACCCGGTATAAAGGAGCTTTTAATCAAGGTAAGACATAAGGTGACCTCTAATAACATAACCGCCAACAGGCTTAATCTTGAGCTAACATTAGCTGTCAACACGCATGCGGTTACCTCCTGTCTCTTTCTTTCGGAGGGACTTTGATTACTCCGTAATTCAAGAGTTACAGTAAAAGAGGAGTAGTGTAGATTTTACCGTTTTTTCTACATAACGAGGTTGTATTTACAATTAAATTAACCGGGAAATGGATTTTTATTTGGGCATGAAGAGTACTTATTTGAAATGGAAGGTGTGTAAAATGATACTGAGGATCAGGAAGTTTTATGCAATAAGTAACTGTGTTTGAAGGAGTATTACTATTCGGAGGCACTTTGATTACTCCGTAATTCAAGAGTTACAGTAAAAGAAGAGTAGTTTAGATTTTATCCTTTTTCCTACATAACGAGGTTGCATCATTTTACCATTATTTTAAGCGGGTAGTGGACATGAATGGGGCACACATTTCAAATGAAGGGTGTGCAAAATGATATCGAGAATCAGAAATCTTCGTGCAGTTGTTTTTTCCGCTAGCCAACTTAACAGTTAAACCAATTTCTTAATTTTCCAACTTAGTTGATATGATCTGTTGTTCTTGTTCCTGTGACAGGACAAAGAAGACTCGGAGGGAATAATGGAGAACAGCCAAAACGTCAAACAGAGAGTATATTAAGTAAGGGTCATAAGAACTAATTGAAAATAGATGTTTTGGGATACAATGTCAGTTAAACAAACCAGGTGAGATTAAATTGTCCACTATGGTTAAAATTTCGTCTCTGTCAGAAGTCAATTATTTCTCACAGCAGTGTTCAAACAGTATTACCACATCTTGTGTCTTGAACTGAATTTCAAAGATAAAGTACACAACTGAGAAATACACAAAAGCATTGCAGTGTTTTCAGTAGTGATAAGAACTTTATCAAGAGACAACTAACTAGCAAGTAGTGGAACACTTTAATATTACGGTAATGACTTAATTCACCATGCATGGTTCAGTTTAACCCTAATATTTATGGTTTTTTTCTGAGCATGCACCAGATATATATTCCAGCATTGACATGTAAAGAAGAGATTCTTTCAGTTTAATGAACAGCTCAGTCAATTTAGTAAATGCACCGCTGGCGTAGAGTTAAAGCATTGCCAGATGTTCTATTTTAGGTATGTTATCTCAAACAACGAGAAAACTGGAAAAATACCAAGACATATACATTGAGATGAAAATGGAACGAGAGGGTTAAAGGTGACAGCTATCGTTGAACAC